ATGCATGACATTTAGAATGTCATTATGAGATAATGTTTATATATGTGGATAAAAAAAATGACGTGCTGATGATATAATGAATGAAAAATCGGGAACATTTTAAGTTAAACTATTTAATTAACAATAATTCCTTTTCGTTTACAAATTACAACCTTTAATCCATTATAACTGGGAGCTCTCTTCTATATCTTTCAATATATTTTGTATGTTATGTCTATATGCTTTTTTTGGTTTTACAACAACCTTAATATAGCCAATTTTAGCTAAAAATAAACTATATATGCTAATGTGAATGTTGTAATATTTGGCCATTAATTACCATTTCTATGTAAAAATGCTAATACCTTATTAGCAAGCTACAGCTTCATATTCTAGTTTCATCACTTTGTTGTTCACCTTACCAGTACACAGCGAGAGCGACCAACAGCTTATATTCGGATTTGGTCACCTTCATTCAACCTGGTGATTGCAGAATAAAGCCATTAGTGTTAGTAAGTGTTGAAAACGGAGTAGCTGATTGTTAGCCTTTTTGTGCTACTGGCACAATAGGAGCATCTACTATATCTGTTATATCTGGGAATACAACCTTTTTAAAAAAATTGTGTTCTTGGCTAAATGAGATGTGTTAAGTGTACTCTTTCAGTGATGCTACCAACATCCTGATACTCTATTTTTAAAAAAAGGGGTAAACATATGAAAGGAAAGGAGATAATGATAAAAATAAGAAGGTTTAGGCTGATGAGAGATGATGGTAGGTAATGAAAGTTAATGAAATTGTTGCAGAGCAGTTGTACTCACGCCCCCTCGTCTCTAAGCAGAGACAAGAATTTGGTCACTCTGTAATCTGGATCCATCTAGAGACAACAAAATAAAGACGGAGAGGAACTGAAGAGTGGTAGAAATAGAAGGAAAAAGTTCACACTGAATCATACAGTCACATCTCATATTTCCTAATGACATTAGGCAGTGACACTAGGATGCTCCATTACATCCCTAGAACTCTTTCTAAGGCTCTAGTCACTATGCTAGTCAATTGTAGCTTGATTGTATTTGTACTAATACTGAACAGTTAAAATAGTTTTGGGCCACAAATTGTCTCCACCAATGTCATCTTTTGGAAAATATAGCAAACAACACAATTTAGATGGGTACACAAGGTCTAGTAAATGGACCAGTTAGAATTTCTATTGCTAGTTCCCAAACTACTGCCTATCACCAAGCAAAATTTAAACCATCAGTCAACTCGTCTGTCACACTACAGCTCACATACAAAACTTTTTCAATCTGTCGCCTTGCTTCTCTACCTGCATTGACATCTCGATGAGCACGAGGAGTTTCTTAATGCCTATCCAGACCCGCTTTCCTTTGAGTTGATGTGCGATGCTGGCCCGCTCTTTGTCTGTGAAGCTTCCCAGTAGCTGCAAAGACAATAAAGACAATTCAAGCGGCACTTAAAGTCTCTGGTATAAGCTATGGAAAAACATGCTTTTATTTAAGCTTTAGCAGCTAGGCTTTTATTTTCAGTTAAATAGGTTTTTCACCACAAGATTTCTTGTTTTTGTATGCGCATGCATTTATCCTTTTGGGAATGGGGTGGTTATGTATAATTCAGCACCTTCATCTCTGAGTGCAAGTTTAAGTGCACAATTATGATTATTTTTATCTTTAAGCAATAAAACATGCATGCTGGCCTAGTCTAAAATGAACGTGATTTTTTTCTGTTGTCTGTACTGAATGTTGTGGCCATTTGTGTGTCTGAAACGATGGGGCCATCTTACCTCTAAGGCATCGATTAGCTGGTCCCCAGTAGAGATGTTGGGGATATGGATGGTGGTGCTAAAAGCATCTAACATCTCCATCTCCTGTAGGACGTCCTTCCTGCTCGTGGTGCCGATGATGAGCAGCTTCCGGCCCTGCAGGAGGTTTAAATTACTTGTTTCTGTGGGTTGTTGATTACAACATAAATTACAGCAAATTATCCAGTTATTTTCTGTGCTTATGAATGATTAATTTCTTCATTAGGTCTTACAAGCCCTGTGTGGACTTTATTTTTACAAAAGGTTTTTCTTGATATTAGTAAATTTACTACCATACCTCAT